TGTGCAGCGACCTGGTCTGCGATATCCTGGTCCAGTTGCAAGGCTAATAAGGTAAACCTGGTCTAGTTGCAGACCAGGTCTGTGATAGCTTGGTCTAGTTGCAGGCCAGGTCTGCACGATCGCCTGGTCCAGCTGCCAACCACGTTGTGGATAGCCTGGTGCAAGGCTAACATAAACCTGGTACCTTTGCAGACGAGGTGTGTGATAACTTGGTCCAGTCGCAGGCCAGGTCTGTGATAGCCTCATGCTGTTGCCGACCTGGTCTGCGACAGCCTGGTCCAGTTGCAAGGGTAACGTAAACTTGGTCTAGATGGAGACCAGGTCTGTGATAGCTTGGTCCAGTTGCAGGCCAGGTCTGCACGATCACCTGGTCCAGCTGCCAACCACGTTGGGGATAGCCTGGTGCAAGGCTACCATAAACCTGGTACCTTTGCAGACGAGGTGTGTGATAACTTGGTCCAGTCGCAGGCCAGGTCTGTGATAGCCTCGTGCTGTTGCCGACCTGGTCTGCAACAGCCTGGTCCAGTTGCAAGGGTAACATAAACTTGGTCTAGATGGAGACCAGGTCTGTGATAGCTTGGTCCAGTTGCAGGCCAGGTCTGCACGATCACCTGGTCCAGTTGCACGCCAGGTCTGTGATAGCCTGGTGCCGTTGCCGACTAGGTCTTTCATAGCCTGGTCCAGTTGCAGACCAGGTCGGCAATAGCCTGCCCTGATTGGACAGCAGAAGGCCTAGTCCCCATTGGCACCGTCTCTACAAAACGTTACCTTGGGTAAGTTCGTACCGAGTTAACATATACGTTGCAATACAGAGTTCCTCCAAAGAACATGCCACCTGGTCTTGTGAATATATAGAAGCCATCTGTAGTGTCGTGATCCGATACACTCGTATTGACTGGGCGTTGTGTTCAGGGTGAGTAGCAGTGCGGTGTGCCCATAAAGCTGCTGCTTCTTTTTTTTATAAATATTTTGGACCATTTCTCGATTTATGTGTGCCACCCTTGCGCAAGGGCCATGCTAATCTCCTTTCTTTGTCTCGTTCCAATTTTTACGGATGTCCCAAAGGACTGCTGCCCACAGAGTTTTTTTTTTTTTTTTTTTTTAAACAAAATTCATACCGGTGTCCCTTACATCATTTGCGGCGGTCAAACGGGCTAAGTAAGGCACTCCCGGCCAAACCTATCCCCTCCACAACCTCACAAGGTTACGAAAACCAATGATCCCAATCCCAACCCTAAAACAAAATCCACGTTCACTAATGTAACAGAAGTCAAATCCTAATCTACCCCCTCTCCAAACCACCATTATCAAACAACCCTAATCTCCACCAACCAAGGTTACGAAATCTATGATCCCAATCCCAACCCTAAAACTTGATGCAGGTTGAATGGTAAAACTATCTTTCTTTCTTTTTTTTCAATCGTTATTTTAATATTGAAATTTGAAATTATATTTTGCTTTTTTTTAAAAAAAGAAACGAAAATTTTGGACCATTTCTCGATTTATGTGTGTCATCCTTTTTTTTTTTTTTTTTTTTTTTTTTGGACCATTTCTCGATTTATGCGTGTCATCCTTGCGCAGGGGCCATGCTAATCTTCAGGCTCTGTATCGTTCCAATTTTTACGGATGTCCCGAAGGACAATTTGTGTGTCATCCTTGTGTAAGGGCCATGCTAGCTAATCTTCTTTCTCTGTATCGTTAAATTTAACGGATGTCCCCGAGGACAATGTTAAACCATCTTGTGACTGCCACGACCGCCAAATGGCCTCTTCACCCCACTAGAACGCCCGGTCATTATGCCTGTATGTGGGGCAACTTTCAGTCTAGATGCAGCGATAATGACCTGGCGTTGTATTCGGGTGAAGACGGTAGCCGCGACCCTTTCATGATGCCAATGGAAGGAGAGGAAGAACAGGTGTAGATCGTCTCAGGTGGGGACCACATCATCGGACTGGGAAAGGATGTCCCCCCCAAAAAAAGAAAGACTTTATCACATCAGACTGGGAAAGAATTTCACACTCCTTCCATCTCACCTCATCAGGGAGCTGGACTGGGCCCAGATGATATCCCAACCAGAAAAGGTTGTTCTTTAAAAAACAGGCTTGCTGGACATGAAAAAAAAAAAGGCGTCAGAGATTGGCTGGCGGCCAAGCCAGCGACCTACCCAGACTCAGGATTGTGATACCGACCACCACATGGTCGACAGGTTGTTACGTCGGGCATGTGCCGATTCATCAGGAGAAAAGAAAAAAGAAAAGAAGTTAAAAAAAAGAAGACCTGATGACGATAGGACTTGCACCGATTCATCAGGAGGCGGAACCCTCGACAATCTGCGGAATCTTCGTATTGATGCTATGGGTCATGAACCCTTCGACCCTTGTTGAAACCAGACTGCCAGCGGACAACGCCACAGGCATAACATAGCCGCAGGCAATGACTCAGCGAAGCACCAGGCCACGTTGCCGGGGCAACCCCACTGCACATCGTCAAAGGTAACCGCATGGAAGGACCGTGAAAAAGAGCGGATGGGCAGCACGACAACAACACAGCAAAGCACACACGGTCAAACTGCAAAACATACCACACGGTGTACAAGCAAAGTGCACAGGAAGACAAGGCACATAGATGGGCAGCCACGAGCGTAGACAAGGCAGTCGACACATCCAACATGGAGCAAAACAGGACATCACCAACTCACACCACAAGTGAACCCTGCAGACTGTTGGTTCCGACCACCCTCTGAGCCAGAAGCCACTCCGACGAACGCCCGTCGTCACCCGTAGGAAACACAGACATCCTGAACTGAGCCGTCTCCATAGTAGTGCCCCCGTAATAGTGCTG